TTCAGAAAAAAAAAATTATATGAACGATATATAAGTGATATTTTCCTAATAAAGACCACATAACTTTGAGAGAACGTTCCCTGTCAGCTGGTGTCAGTATTTCACTTTAGTGCAGTTCGTCTCTCCAGCTACGTTTGTGTCTTTATAATAAGAATTGAATTATTAAATAATTAAATAAAACAAAATAATCTAGAATAGTTTAGTTCTGTGGCTGTTTATTCACGTTTAGCAACTGAGCTGAACCGAAATAAAGAGTTTGTTTGCGCTCTCCTCAGCGCGGGCTTACTGTTGTGCATAAACGCGCCAATCTGCCAGACTCAAGACTGATCTAATCAGAGCTAAAGCTTGTGACACAGACACACAGACACTAATTCAGTCGCTGTAATGCAAGTAGTTTCAGGTAAAACACAACTAACATGCATCGCACAGGTGATCTGGAACATGAGGGTTTGGACGCGGTTACACATGAAACTCACACTTCGCGCCCCCTACTGGTTCCCCTCTGCAACGACACTCGGACGTTTATCAGCGTAGGCTTCAAAGACTAATAAACTCACATATACTAAGGCCAGTGGTTCCCAACCCTGGTCCTGGAGGCACCCCAACACTGCACGTTTTGCATGTCTCCTTGATCAAACACACCTGATTCAGGTCATCAGCTCATTAGTAGAGACTCCAAGACCTGAAATTAGTGTGTCAGAGAAAGGAGACATGCAAAATGTGCAGTGTTGGGGTGCCTCCAGGACCAGTGCTGGGAACCACTGACTTAGGCCATTAATATTTTTACCAACAAAAAATGGTTTTAAGTCCGTTATTTCTATCGTTTGCTGTAGTGTGTCAGTAGGAAATATCAGTTTACATTTCCAAACATTCATTTTGCCATTAATTGTAATAATCCAGTGAGATTTGTGTTTGCACAAGGAGTCTGAAGACAACCAGTGCTGCACACACAGATCTGATCTGACCATCATCATCCAGTCCGTCTGCGATTACATGAAGAAATAGAACAAACTCAGACAGACTCAGTCCAGAAGAACTGTGGCAACGTCTCCAAAACACTTGAAGAAACCTTCCTGCAAAGATGTGAAACGTTTTAGGCACTTGTGTAAAAATGCTGTGAAGTGAGGATGCTTTCAAAAATATTTTATTTATCAATTAACTTCTATTAATGAAATCAAATCAGCATTTGGTGTGAGCATCCGTTGCGTTTAAAACAGCTTTTGTCTGAGGTACACTTGCACATAGTTTTTCAGGTAGCTTTGCAGGAAGTGTTTTGGAGACGTTGCCACAGTTCTTCTGGACTGAGTCTGTCTGAGTTTGTTCTGTTTCTTCATGTAATCGCAGACGGACTGGATGATGATGCTGAGATCAGATCTGTGTGTGCAGCACTGGCTGCTGTCAGAAATCTCACTGGATTATTACAATTAATGGCAAAAGCTTTGTGTTTGGAAATGTAAACTGATGTTTCCTACTGACACACTACAGCAAAAGATAGAATTAACTGGCTTAAACCCATTTTTTGTTGGTGAAAATACTAATGGCCTAAGACTTTTGCACAGTACGTCTATGTAATGCGCCTTGTTTTTAATTTTTTTACGTGAATGTGCGCGACTTCCTGTGTCATTTGCTTCCAGTATTTATTTTTGTTCAAAATAGCTTGTTATGCTGCTTAATACTGCAAACTGTTATTCCTTATAATATTTTAATGTATTTTCTTAATTATAAATACAATGATTTGTAGCACAAATAATTTCACTGTTTGCTGCACTTTGTTGTTCTTTCTTGTAATAGCAGCAAATGAATCAGAATTCTGGCACATTCACAGAAAATAGTGAACGTCCGCGTTGCAAAATAAGCAAAGGGGTCAAAGTGTAGTCAATTTTATTTAAAAAATACATGCAACTGAAAGAAAAATGCAACTTTTTTTTGTTGTTGTTGTCAGTTTGCCTATTTTGTGGCTTTGATCTACAACAGCGGTTGCCAACTGGTTTTTGCTTTAGCACCCAGATTTTACATCAACAAAGTACCTAAACTCTTTTACTTCAGAAATACAACAAAAGTGTCCTTAAAATTAAGCATTCATAAAATCTGTGACCCTGGAGCACAAAAGCAGTCTTAAGTCGCTGGGGTATATTTGTAGCAATAGCCAAAAATACATTGTATGGGTCAAAATTATAGATTTTTCTTTTATGCCAAAAATCATTAGGATATTAAGTAAAGATCATGTTCCATGTAGATATTTTGTAAATTTCCTACTGTAAATATATCAAAACTTAATTTTTGATTAGTAATATGCATTGCTAAGAACTTCATTTGGACAACTTTAAAGATGATTTTCTCAATATTTTGATTTTTTTGCACCCTCAGATTCCAGATTTTCTAATAGTTGTATCTCGGCCAAATATTGTCCTATCCTAACAAACCATACATCAATGGAAAGCTTATTTATTCAGCTTTCAGATGATGTATACATCCCAATTTCGAAAAATTGACACTTACAAAAATTGGTTTTGTGCTCCAGGGTCACATATATTACTATTTAGACCCACAATACACAAAATAACACAGTGGTTTCATAATGTCTCTCAACTTACAATTCAGTGTGTAAAACACAGTCCAGATGGTAGCTCTGTTTCTCACGTAATTTTGTTAATGATCTGCGATGATGACTGCATTTTCATGTTCATCTAGTGAAATTATACAGTGCATCCAATCAAACTCTATAGTATTTTGGCACAAATGCATCTGCCTAATTTCACTCGTTTCTGCCAAGTGACAGATGCGTTTGTGCCAAAATGCCATTGAGTTTGACTGGATGCACGGTCTTGACACCAACAAACAAACAAAAAAATATATTGTGTTTTCTCCTCCTTTATAAAAGACGATATGTCTATTTAATTATCTTAACTATGCACAGCTATATTGTTAATCACATTTTAGTTTTCCTTGCAGTCAATCGCCCTAGAATACGCTCTAAAAAATGCTGGGTTAAATATAATCCAGCGCTGGGTTAAAAAGGGACAGGGTTGTTTTGACCCAGCTATTGGGTTGTTTTGACCCAGCGGTTGGGTTGTTTTGACCCAGCGGTTGGGTTGTTTTGAAGCGGTTGGGTTCAAAACAACCCAACCGCTGGGTCAAAACAACCCAATAGCCGCCCTAGAATACGCTCTAAAAAATGCTGGGTTATATTTAACCCAGCATTTTTTAGAGTGTACAACCGGTTGAAAAGTACTGATCTTAAAATCAGCAGACATCTATCAGTAATGTATTTTCAGAGAAGGATCATGTGTAATAATTCATCTGCTATAGAATTTAGACTGAGAGAGAGAAACTTAAAGAACACAAATGTTGTAGATATTTGTAACCAGATACAAAACAACACTCAAAAAAAAATGCTGGGTTGTTTCAACCCAACTTTGGGTCAAATATGGACTAACCTAACCGTTGGGTTACATTTTTACATTACATTTTTAACCCAAAAGTTGGGTTAGTCCATATTTGACCCAAAGTTGGGTTGAAACAACCCAGCATTTTTTAGAGTGAAACACGTCAATATTAATAATAACAAAAGATCTCGTTCACCATTCAACAATAACAGTGTTAGTTCATGTGTAATCAAAGAATTACATGTTCACATTGTTATGTCACAATTTTATAAAACACTTTAAATCGTTTTTTTTCTTTTTCCTTCAGTTTCAAAAATAGGGTTTCAGGATTGACAGTGTTTTTCCAGTGTCACAACATTCATGCTTCCATTACTACACAACACTATCAGGGTAAACACGGTTAAATAACCAAAACAGTATTTTGACCAAAATTAATTAGCAAAATAATATTACTGGAAACTAATGTAAAAAACACACTCTTCCAACATCAGGCAAAAAATCTTATCAAGTAAAAGAAAACGGTTTTTTTTTTTCAAAACAATGGACGATATATAAGCCCCATTCAGTGCTAAACACTACGTATCTTTTACAGTTGATGTAAATATCTGACATACGCAGTATTGCTTGTTCAGTCGAATCATCTGCACACTAAAACCTGTACATTCCTGCATTAATCTAATGTTGCTTAATTGTCATCTACCCCTAATCCACAGTATAATTAAAACACTAATATGATTTTCAGACACCACTCCCCGTTTGTATAATATCATCAGGCTCTTTGAGCGTCTTTAGAGTCTTTATTAGCATAAAGGTGGCCTATCGACCTTAATATGTTAATAGCTTTACAACGAATCTCTGAGTCTTTACGAGACCTCGTCTGGTCAGTAACTCAAACACGTGTAGCGTTACAGTCACTACATGAGATACAGCTGCACCACATTTCTTATGTACTCATTGTACTTTAATACGAACCATCAGTAATCAGCTACTGCTTAGCAGGCAAAACATTTCTCAGATTAAGGCAAGACACTACAGGCTTAAACAGGGTTTTTTCATGCACTGGTCAGTTTTGAGATTTTGGGCTGTTTGGCTTTTCAAAGAAAACATCCGAATATGCTTTTGGATGTTTAGAATATGCTTTTAAAATATGCTTTTGGATTTTATTGCAATTTATCTATTTGTGTCTGAAGATCTCAGTTACAATACATGTCTTTTAAGGCCTTTTTCTCAAAATGAGTTTTTTTCTCTACTTCAGCAGAACATCTATACAACAAACTTAAGAGGTTTATTCCCAGCTATATTCTGAAGGTTTTCACAGATGGGTTTGTTCATTTATCATACACCTGGTTTTATACATTTTATTCCTAAACACATTTTTTTTAGTGATATAAAAAGAGGAATATCAAAATCTGTAAAACCATTTGACGCTAACAAGTCAACAAAATGAAGCAATATTGAACCTGGCTTTATCCATTGTTCAGATTTCCACTCTGGAAATTTATGCAAACGTGTGCATATTTAATTACATAATGACTACTTTGCGTATTTAAACGTACCTTTTCAGAAAACATGTAATATAAAATTGAAAAAAAAAAATGCATTTCTTAACATAATCAGTTAACTAGAAAAGTATGATAATATAGTAAATTTCACTCGGGGTGTCTTGCCTTCAATTTGGGGGGGGGAAGTGAAAAAATAAATTAAAATGCAGTGAAAACCTCAGAAAAGTGAGATGGAAAATAGCATAAAAAATCTAATAAATAAATAAGTTACCTTTGAAGACATTTGTATCTTGCCCTCAAAACCCAAAGGATTCACAAATGTACTGAAAACAAAAATGATAAATAAAAAAAGACCATCTTTATTAAGTTTCTCTCATTAAAAGCATGAAGGATCATGTCTTCAGCTTGTAGATAAAATAATGAGCATTCAAGTACATCTCCTTTGACTGCAGTTTTTCAGGTTTTGAAATGAGTGGAGATACAAACCGGTTCTTCGCTTCAGTTTTGTGCATCTATGATTCGCACATAAAGTCTGGAAGATGTTGGTCAGGGTTAGACGTGATCTCTCTCATCACCGTCTGTTTTCTCAGCAGTGGCGAGGCGAGTTGGGATACTTGGCCTTCAGGCTCTCCTTGAAGCTGCGGAAGAGGATGCGGTTCTTCCGGTTCTCCTCGTCCTTTCTGCTGTGAAACTCTCCCTGGACCTTGAACCCTTTGTGCACCACAAACGCATTGCTCACCACAGAGAACCGGTAACCGGCGATGTGAAGCTCACAGGCCTAAAGAGAAGAGAGAAGTCAGTCAGAAGGTAACTAAGCAAATGAACGAATAACGAAAATAAATATTTTGCACCATGAGAAGTTTTTCAATTCACACCAGATCTCAGTCCACTTTCCATTCACACTATCCAAAATACTGATTAGTATTTTTGGAATACATATATACACTGATGAGCCATTACATTATGACCACCTACTTGATAAACTGTAGGCCCAAAAAAAGGAGCCATGTGGCGAGGCATTGATTTGACGAGGTGGCGTCCACTTGGCTTTTCCAAGTCAAACCGCAAATGTTTGACTGGGTGAATTTGGAGGCCAAAGCATTATCAGAAATTCACTGCCATCTTCCTCAAACCACTCTTTGACCATTCTGGCAGCGTGGCCAAAACCACTAGAAGGCAAGTCTGCAACCTTTAGCCAAAAAAGCATAACGGCTAATGCTAACGCTTCCGCAGTATGTGGGAAAGGAGACCAGGTCGTTTTTTATTAACGGATGTCAACGGAGGAGAGGCTTCACTACGCTGAATAAACAGGTATGCTATATGGGGGTTATTTCGGGTATGTTATGTGTGCAGCAGCAGTATTTCTTACATGCTCACAGCAGCATGTTGTGGATGTATTGGCTGTAGCAAGTCTCGGTACTTGCTCTGCCGCAGCAGCGTAGCAGATCTATTCCGCCAAGACCAAATACATTAACATTGTCATGTACATTACCATGCTAATCCCTCCGAGAGTTGTCATGACAGAACTATTTTTAGAGTTTACACCGAAAAAAATGACGTTTTATAAGAGAAGTCACTGACTTTTTGCGACAGGTGAGATTCAGCTTACGGCGTAAACGGCGAGTGAGTGTCGCACAAATTCAGTGACGTCAAGGCTGTAATGTGATTGGTTATTAAGGCACACGTGATCCAAGTTGACCGTTACGCTTTCTCCAATAGTAAGTAATACAGACCCTCGTATCTCCCAATAGTAAGGCAATCTCTGGTTTGGCATGGCGCATTATGCGGTTAGTAATGGCCATCGCCGGTGGGAAACACAGTTGCCATTAGGGGTGTCGCCATATACCGATATTGACGATAATAGTGTTATTTAAAAAACGAAATATCGCTATTGTGTTAATTAGGGGTGTCGTGATATACCGGTATTAGCGACAACCATGATATTTCAAAAAGTACACAGCACTAAACTCTCACGTGTAATTTGTTTCATTCATACCCGACACCAGAGGGCGCCATTGCACAGGAAGTTCACGAGGGAGACTCATAGGAGTAATAAAACAAATGACTTTCGCTGTAGCTGAATAAAATGCAGAAAGAAATGTTTGACTGATGAAACGTGAAGAGAATTGACACACGATTACAACAGTATATGTTTTTTCTGTGTTCAAGTCATCTCTGGCATTTTTCATAAGGATAATGTTTATTTATAATGCAATGCTAATCGACATAGTCTTTAGCACTGTGTAGAATACTGTACAGAAGCCTCATCAGTTCACAGAAAGAAGTTATTTCAAAACTCGATTGACACTATAATTCGAGTTTGGGGTAAAAAAAGCTTTAAATCAATTGAACCATTAGCTTCGCAAAATGATTCACTGATTCGAATCACTCAAAACGCCACACGCTGGTGATGCCTGCTGGTCATAACGTGGTCATAAATGCAACAAAAACTTAGGCCAAATTATGCATAAATAAAGACCCAATGCAAATGTTTCATTGAAATTATAATATATTAAATGCAATTAACAAATCATCAAATACTATTAAATATGAAGTGTCTTTATAACCTGTTCTTTTATTAATTTGCAGGGCTTTTTGTTTGCTTTATGAAGGGCTCGTCTAAACATCTTTAACAACTACTCCCATATATAGACTTTTATAGAACAACTACTCCCATATATAGACTTCTATAGAACAATTACTCCTATAAGACTTCTATAGATATTGCGATATATCGTTACCGCGATCCCCCGATAATCTGTGCACTTCAATAGATATCACGATATATCGTTACCGTGATCCCCCGATAATCGGTGCACTTCAATGGATATCGCGATATATCGTTATCGTGGTTTTAATTTTAATTTATTAATTCTATAATTAATAGTATTATCTCTTATAATAATAATTAATATTATATATAGCATGTAAAATAAAACATTAAAATTATATTAATTATTATATTACATATACGACGTTCTGAATACATTGTATAATATGTTTAGGATATTATATTAATTTTAATATTCATTATTGAATATTTATATACAATAATTAAAAATACTATAATGAGTATATTCTAAATATTATAATATATTTAGAATATTATATTACAATATACATTTTTATTGCATGTATATATATGTGTGTGTGTGTATGTGTGTGTGTGTGTGTGTTAATATTATTAAAATATAATAAATTATTAAATATTGGATGATTTTTTTTATTTGGCTAATTTAGTTGTGTGTATTCTTCCTGCTCGAGTCCACCTCTCCATCGACTCACCTGACTGATGCGGTTGAAGCCGTACTGCCTGAAGTTCTCATCATAGAGAGAAACCGTTCGAGCACCGATGTAGAAAGGCTCCCACGGATCGGCCCAGTTTATGGTGTACGCCACCTCCAGCGGCCCAGAGCTCTTGCTGGCCAGGTTGACCCACTGTGAGTAGTTAGTGGGAGCTTGACAGCGAGGGCAAAGTTCATCGTAGAACGGCCGCACCTCGCCAACCTGATAGAGCTGCACCAGCTCCGACTTGGTCGCGGGCATCTTACGAGTGTGCCTGATCTCGAACGCGGGAAGCACGAGGACCTCGTCCGCGGCCGGTTCGCGCCTCATCAGCATGGTCACGAACTGGTGGTGCAGATTGGCACTGGGTATCATGTCGATATCGATGACCAGGATGTAGGCGGCGTCTGTGCCGCTGCGGGCCACGTTGCGGAGAAGGTTGTTGGGGTACGAGACATTGCTGCCGATGGCGTAGTTCTTATACTTGTCTCGGTGGGATTTGAGCTTGGCGAAGATGCCGGAGCAGCCCATCTCCTCCAGACCGGCAAAATGCTCTCGATCCTGGTCTGGAAAACTGGCCATTTCACCTGAGTGGCAAACCAGATGGAAGTCCACCAACGCTTGAACCTGTGGGCAGAAAATGCTGAGGGCGTAAACGAACGCCGTGGCGAACTTGACATCTTGGCCGTTGGCGAATATCGCGACGGATAGAGGATTCTGCCAGCGCTCCAACAAAGAGCTCAAATGGTGAAGGTTGTTGATAGTCGTATGCGTGGCCAAAGCCAGGTGGTGCGATCTGGGATCCGCTCCTGGCTTCTGATTGGTCGAGAAGTCGCTTTTGATTAGGTTTTTATACACGCGGTACTGTCCGCTCCCATCGAAGATCCCACCTGTGGATAAAGAGTACCTGAGATGTTCCCGCCTGGGGTTCTTCTCTCCTTGGTTTGCTGTCTTTTTGGAGCCGAAGAGCTCCGAATACTTGTAGCGCTGCTGTTTGCCGTGCAATTTTGAGAGGAAAGACAGATATAAAAGCTGCAACAGTGCAACAATGAGAAGGGCACTGAGCACCACCTTAAACACCGAGCATTTTTTAGAGAAATGCATTACAATTACTGGTAGCTTTTGTTTAATGTCAATGAAACGTTCTCAAAGAGTGCTCACACAGATCAGCTAGGGTTAGCCAGCTATCTAGCTATGCAGCCCTCATGCATGCAGCAGACATTGCATTGATCTGCATTGCAGCGAGATGTAGTAGTGCAGGTCAGTTTAAACGGGAATCGACTTGCATGTTTGGATGTATGCGTTGAAAAGACACACGCAGAGAGAGAAACGGGTTCGCGTACAGCACGCACTGTGCGTGGTGGCGGCGCATATTTGTTTACCGTTCCGGTTACCGTAAACTCCCTAGAACGGGCTCGGCTCACCGTGCGTGTGACTGTTTCGACTCCATAAACACTTCTTCTCAGTAACAGAAAGACGAACTATCAGTAAACATTCTCTACACACGAAAACTTAGGTGTATTATTACCTATAAGTGACTTTGTATGGAGTCAAAACGATCACGTATCAGAGTGGCGCATCAGACGAGGTGGCCGAGTGGTTAAGGCGATGGACTGCTAATCCATTGTGCTCTGCACGCGTGGGTTCGAATCCCATCCTCGTCGGAAGCCGTTTTTGACTTAAATTTTAGCTTGGTTAAAAAGAGAAGTCCTGGAGCTTTTGCACTATACTAATGTTTTGTTTTAAATAATATAATATAGTAATAATAATATTTTTTAAACATGATATTATAATACACAATGACCGATATATATACTGTATAGTTTTGTGTATTTTTCAGACTTTGGAGCCCCCTACAGTTAAGTGTGTGAAATTCATTGTCGTAAATATAGGCTGCACCAGAGCCGTAGAGCGCTATGAACTTCCTGGAACTATTTGAGGTCTACGTGAATCACGTGACGATCGAGCGTTTTGGACTTCCGGTGACGCAACTAACAACCCCCTTTTCCTTGTTTTTTTCCCTGTTCTTTTTTTTGTTTGTTTGTTTCTACTTTATTTTTTGTTATTATTTTTATGTTAATGGTTGTATTATTCTATGTGTACTATTCTTGATTTTTGAGCATTAATAAAAATAATAATAATAATAAAAAATAAAAAACTCTCTCTTTCTATGGCTCTGGGCTGCACACGTGCATTTGTTGCTGCCGTAAAGCGAGCCGTCTTTTTCGCGGAATTTCGTATCCGCTCAACAAACTTGTTTATTTTTTTAATGCTTTACTTAGTGACAACTCACACTGATAGATGCAAAATAATAATAACAATAAGGCGAAAAATGTAAGTAATAATAAAAAATAAAAATAAACACAAATTAAAAAAACTACATACATTAGTGACATCAAATCGACATCCTTAACTTATTTATTTTGGCTTTTCGTTCCTTACACCTCAATGCTTCAAGATACTGATAAATAAACCGATAAACCTCAAATTTAAAGATTATGAATGTTATATTAATCTCAAACGATGTGGAATTATAGTTGTTTTTAGAAACAGCCAGTTTGAATAATTGCAAAATTGTTTTATATTATTATTATTAGCTCTATAAAAATAAATATATTAATATTGTAATAATAAAACCGTGTTTTAAAATAAATTATAAAACAGAGAGTTCAGGTCCTTGATTCTGATTGGCTGAGCCACGTTCGACGCTGTTGTAAATTACTCTACAAACATACACCTTTGTTTACGTTTGTCTGTTGCTCGGCAACCACTTTGTTGCAACCACAACTGATTCTGAGGAACTACATTGTTTAGTGGAAGAATACTGTTTTTATTAATATCATTACACTTTATTTGCTCTGTTTTATTTTGTGAAACCTTACTACGTATATGTATATGTATATGTACATACTGGTAAAAAAATGTATAACCTGAATGCACTGTAAGTCGCTTTGGATAAAAGCGTCTGCTAAATGCATAAATTATTATTATTCATTATATGGAACAACCGTTTTATAAAAGCAGTAATCCCTGTGAAGCCGTGGTTTACAGTGAATTTATAACAGCTAAGGGGCGTTACACCTTAGCTGTTATAAATTCACTGTAGCTTCTTGGGGCTTATAGCATTATTAATATTATACTTGTCATTATCAAATGAATATTTGGTAATTATAATAATTTTATTTTACACAATTTACTAACAATGGTGAACAGCAACACGCACACCCTTTTTATTGTTTTGCTCCAACAAGTGTGTGATTTTAGTGACGAACAAAACACGCAACACTGTGAACAGATCTCGCTCAATTTTGTATTTTTAATTCAATAACCAAAACAACCACAGAAACAAAACAAACAAAAAGGCTTCGTCCGACAGGTGTACAGTCGTGACATGATAAACGATGGAGTCGAGCTGCGGTCAACAGTCAGAGGTCCACCGTACGACACATTTCACTCCATTACGAAATATTACGTCTTCCCAAAGCAGAAGAACGTGAAAGTCAAGCCTCAAAAACTATTTGGGCATGGTGAATTTACGCAGTCCGTTTAGACATGAAACATGTTTACTGACTATTTATTTGTAACAAACTGGACTGAAAAGCAAACAATGGAAAACTATTTAGTTGAAATCACACTGGCTAATGTGAACGGTTGTAAATGTTCGGATAGGAAAGGTGTTGTTGTGAGCTGTGTGCATGAAAACCGAGACTTTCACTCTCTTTCGTGTTTTATGACTGGCACCTGTAAGACTTAATAGAAACATGCCAACTCAGTCTCTCCGCAAATATTAACGCGCCAACGATTTCTAACCAGCGTTTAAAGAAAAATCCACTAGGAGACGAGCACTCCGGCGCCACCTTTCGAGCCTCCTCCTTCGCTCTCTTTGGCTTGACTGGCGTCCGCTTTGCCCTGTTTGTCGTCCTCTCCGACTAATCGGATGTTGTAGCGCTCGCGGTACTCCGTCAGCTCCCGCCCTTTCGCCTGCATCTGTGAGTTAAGCGACTCCACGATCTTCGTGATCTGATTGGAAAGAGAGAAGCGGTAATAATGCATCGTTTATGACGAGCAAACGTTTGTGAATCCAGCAGCAGAGTCGCACCTGTTCTTTATTGTTTTCCAACGCAGGCAGGACTTCTTTGACGGTCCTCTCCACCAGCACACCGCCAACTAAACGAAAGCACTTCCGTGTCGGATCGACTTCCTTTAGCTCTATAATATATATAGATTATAGAGAACTATAGATTATGCATCATTTATTTCTATATTTTTTTCTGGATTCTGTGTTTCATAAATGAATAGAAATATATTATCAAAAGTACTGGTACAAAAATGAATGCATTAAACTTTAACAATTTAATTAATCTTTTAAAATGCAATTTGATCAAGTCCTTTTATCTTTTTGGCAAACACAGTGCTGCACAATAGAGGTTTACTGATTCAATTAAAACATGGATGAATAATTATGAAATTGTGTGAAATTCTTAAAAAAATTTTTTTTTTTAAGTTTCAAGTTTTAAAATAGTTTTAATAAACAATAAATAATATTTCATCAATAGTATTACGTTGAGATGTACTTTCTACTCTACAATAGCAATATATTTCTGTCATAATTTCTTCAAGTTAAACCAAACTTTTATTTTGGCGGGTTGTAGTGAAGACCTTTGCGTTTCTGTGCGTTTTAATAAATTGTATTATTATTATAACTTTGAGAAGTAGATTCTATTGCACTGTTGTAATTAAACAGTTAAAACAAACTTTTATTTTGGCGGGTTGTAGTTTAGAGCTTTGAGTTTCTGTGTGTATCTGAGGATAGTTTTCTCAAATGAAATGCACCTGAAATGACTGTCAGATCTCCTCTGGAGATGCTCATAGAAACATAGGCACATTCTTCATTTGTTTGTCAGGATGACGTCGTCGTCATCACTTCCTGTGGCGGCTGTTTGTCAGATGACCGCCACCCCTGACAAAGAGGCCAACTTCAGCGCTTGCACGCGATTGGTGGAGCAGGCCAAAGAGGGCGGGGCCTGTATGGTGTTCCTGCCGGAGGGCTTCGATTACATCGGCTCAAACCGCGAGGAGACGCTGCAGCTGTCCGAGAGTCTGGACGGGGACATCGTCAGCCGTTACTCACACCTGGCCAGGTACGATACGGAGCACTGCTACAGCGACTGACGACATCTGATTGCTCAGGAGGTGTTTGTGTGTGTGTGTTTAAGGAAGCTGGACTTGTGGCTGTCTCTGGGTGGGTTTCATGAGAGAGGACACGACTGGAAAACAGACCGGCGGATTTATAACAGCCATATTATCATGAATGGACAAGGTACATAGTCTTACTATGGGTGAATCTCAGTTTTGGGTCATTTTTGCACTGTGCATTGTACATGTTTATTTTTTTGGTAATTTTCTGTTTGTTAATAAAGCAATAAGCCCCAAGAAGCCGTGGTTTACAGTGAATTTATAACAGCTAACGACGCAAAGCGGAGTGCCTAAAACCCCCTTAGCTGTTATAAATTGACTGTAAACCACGGCTTCATGGGGCTCATTGCTTTTATAAAACGGTTATTCCATATACGTAGTACGGTTTCACAAAATAAAACCGAGCAAATAAAGTGTAATGATATTAATAAAAACAGCATTCTTCCACCAAACAATGTAGTTCCTCAGAAACAGTTGTGGTTC